GTGATCACTGACTGTTTTAGGAGCTTTTTGAGATTAAATAGAAGAAAATAGAAAACATTAAACATGTTAACAACACAAAAGCCATATTAAACGCAGACTACTTTAGGCCCGGAAGTAGGATTCGTCACGTCATCACTTAACGACCGGATTGATGTCCAGATAATGTCAAATACTTACAGCACAGACTATACAGAAGATCCTTATGTCACCAAAGTGGTGTTTTTTAAAGCTACATGTTTGGCAATTGGCTATCATAGATTTTAAAAATACAATTAATTTCAAGTCCAGATTAAAAACCTATTTTTATTCCCTGACTTTTACTGTGTGGGTAACTGACATTTTTATTTATTTTATTGCTATGTTTGCTTTTTGCTATTTTATTACTATATTTATATTTGTTTCGTCGAGCACTTTGGTCTATCAGGTGTGTTTTTAAAGTACTATATAAATAAACGATGATGATGATGAAATTATTCGGTGAGCAGATTGGAGTAGAGAAGAGTAAGGCATGGATCTGAAGCTGAAGGCCTTTTCGGGGCATGTAACAGACACACAGGTCCAATGTGTCCATTTCACACTTTTTCTCTCCAGAGTCTGAAATAGATGCAAAAGCTGAAATACCAGCAGGAGGAGATCATGTATCTAAAGCCATGAAGTGCTGGTGAAGAAGGTATGTGGTCCTTTCCAGGGTGATGTTAGAAACAATTATGCTACATGGATCATATGTATTTACATGTGTGTTTAAACACTCACCCCTGATTATTTTGGTGTTGGCTTGAAATAAACTTTCACCCTCTTCTGGTACTGAAGCTTACTGCAATGTACTGGAGCTACGTGCATGTCTGTGGAGAGGCAAAGCGTGAAATGGACACAGTGGACTGGCGTGTCTGTTACACTCTTTCCTGTGATACTGGGTTGGACTGTCAATTAAATGGCAGCAACATCTGTGTATTCCTTAGTTGCTGTCTCCCCTGTCTGCGATATCCCCGTGTCCAGTCAGTGTCTGTGTCTGCCCTGGTCCCACGTCTCTGTTCCCTCTGTTGTAGTGCCTGCGTGTTAGTCTGTGTCTTTAGTTCAGTCTGTGTTATGTTTCCTGTTTTACTTTGAAAGTCTGTCTCATGTTAATGTATCTGATTTTGCTTCCCCTGCTTCGTTAGGCTTGATTTGCCCCAGCTGTGTTTCCCTCCTGTTACTCATTCCCTGATTGCTCCCTCTATGTATTTAAGCCCTGTGTTTTCTTCTGTCCTTGTCGCGATCTACCCTCATTCATGCTGCCCGCCCGCCTTCCTGCCTTCCTGCCTTCCTGCCTTCCTGCCTTCCTGCCTTCCTGCCTTCCTGCCTGCCTGCCCGCCTTCCTGCCTTCCTGCCTTCCTGCCTTCCTTCTCGGGTTTTGTTACGTTTTGCCATCCAGCAATAAAGCTCAGTTTTGAAGTACACTTTTGCCTGTCGAGGAGTCTGCACTTTGGGTTCTCTTCCTGCCTGCACACAGCGTTACTTGACAATAACAGATACCATTTCATATATATATTTTTTTTAAAACAATGTACTGTATACTAGTATGTTACTGCCGTCTGTGACGATGTGTTCTGTGGAATCTGTAACTAAACTCAGTAATGATGTGACAGCTGATAACAACATACTGACACGAGGAGAGGAGTTGCAAAGCTGCCACAGACAGTCCTTCAATGCAAAACAAAAAGCTGCAAATTTCATTCAAAATATGGTGAGCGTCATGTTGGGATTAAGGCATGGTTCCATGATGTTCTGTGCATATCTTAGTATATTAGATGTATGCACCAGATTTCATAGATGTATGTTAGCCATAGTTGCTCAGTGGAGATTACACGTCCTTTAAAACATCCTAGCAGTTATAAGATTATTAAAATTCTTGTGTCAACATAAATTTCTGCATGTAAATTAAAAGACTGAGTTTCCAACTGATGCTGTTATCTCACTTGAAGTCTGCATCGGAGTCACTGAGTCTCTTCATCGCACCCAGCAGGATCCCCCCACTAATCACTTCAGTCTTGTAGGTTTGTAGAGGTTTGTTTTGTAAGGTGTTCTTCACCATTATAGCAATGGGAATCATTGGCGGTGCTAAATGAGCCACAGACAAAAGGTTAAAAATATTAAATGATAACGACAGTCACTCTAATAAAAATTTCACTTATTGTTATGAAACTTACCTTCAGTCAAAGTCCAAGGAAGCAGTGAGAGCAACAGGGCTGCAGAGAGGAGAGAGGGCATCATTGTCATCGTGGCTGTTAGGACTTCACTGATGATGATGATGCTCACTCACATGTTTTATTTCAGTGATCAGTGTTTACATACGGACTTTATTGATCTTGGTTTGAAAAAGCAAACAAAGTTATCCATTGAACCAACTCTAATGTCACCTTGAGTCCTTGTTATGAAATCGTGTTTGAACTGATAACTTTGTAACTGTACAATGAACAATGACGTACCAACATGCTGCATCATGTGCCAACATCAACTCTCCCATGACCTTTCTGGATTGGGATTTTTGTTTTTTAACATTGCTTAAACTTTGTGCACATCAGCAAGAAATAAAAAAAACAATAACAAAAGTGTAAAAATGACAGTTTTACAGTTTTTATTAAATTATTATTTCTGTACACTTAATATCTTGGATATTTTTGTTTTTGTTTCACAATGCCTATCTACATAAATGAATGCTGCTCGACACTTCAGTCAACATCAGGAATCTCATTTGTTCTAAGAAACATGAGAAACAGACAACCTGACAAAAGGAAACAAAGGACTTAAACACACAGAAGGATAATGATGGAAGTGTAAACACACAGTGAACACAGCTGACACTAATGAACATGACGCCCATACCCATGCCATTATACTGCTTCTGCTATGTTAGACAAATGATATGGTATATTTTGGATCATGAGCTTCCCGTCATTCTGGAAAAGGAAAGTTGATCCTGGTTTCATCGTCCAACTTTTGTTTTCAGATTCTCTCCAGATTCTTTTAGATCTTTATCTGCAAACTCAAATCTGGTTTTCCTGATCTTGTTGTATTTACATTCATGATCGTAGGCTCTGGCAATGATAGACCTAAGGCCTCAAGTGTTTTTATTAAAAAAGGAAGAAATTTAGAATGATCCACTTCAGTATTATTTCATGGTCTTTCAGGTCTTTTGGTGTTGCTGAGCTGCCCAATGCATTCTTCCTTTTTAAGCATGAACCAGATTATTGATTTGTCTACTCCTAAAGTTCTCTCAGGTTTATTTTGGGTTTTGAAATTATTAATAAAGTTCTCTTAATATCTTTATGTCCACAAACACAAAAAAGGTTTAATTATTGCTTTCAGTATGATCTCTACATGTCCTAGTTGGTACCTATAACAATGATAACACTCCTATGAAAATACTGCATCCTTCTGGATGATTCTATATACATAACATTAAATATTAAATGACAAATTTAATATTTTATTCTACACAGTCCTTATCCATATACATGAATGCTGCCTGACACTTCAGAACTGCAATCATTAACCATGTGCTTGCAAAGGAATTTCAATAAGGCTATTGTACCTTTGCCTATTATAATTATTTAAGCAGGCAAGTTATTAAGAGCACACGGTTATTTACCGTGGTGGCCTGCCAAACAGCCAAGCCTCTTGAGAAAATATAGCAAAGGCTAAAAAGAAATATAAAAGGTTCAAAAATCAGCAGCACACATCCGTATGTATCTCAACACATCCTTTTCTACATACAGTCACACCAAACAAACCATGTGAGAACACATAATTCATGTTAATCATTTAACGAGGCAAGTTATTAAGAGCACACGGCTATTTACCGTGGTGGCCCGCCAAACAGCCAAGCCTCTTGAGAAAATATGGCAAAGGCTAAAAAGAAAGATATAAAAGGTTCAAAGATCAGCAGCACACATCCGTAAACATCTCAACACACCCTGATTTACATAAAGTCCCACCAAACAAACCATGTGAAAACACACTTCACGAATAACATCCAATCTAACACAAATACTGTATCAGACAGGCAGATAACACATAATCGAGCAACTCAAGAAGGAACAAAACCAACAGACAATGCAAAAAGTGTGTGGTGCAATAGTGAACAGCAGGCAGACAAATATTAGGGATAGCAGCGGCTTGCAAAGAACTGCATCGGTCATTAAGGATGTACATTAACAGGTTTTAGCTTAGTTGTCTGATTTATTAATTTGCCCAGTTTTAATCTTGTTTTTTTCAGGTTTCACCAATCTTTAGTTGCAGCAGCATGAAATGATGACAATAAAAGGGCATTTATAGCAAACTATATGGCAGAGCATTATAGAACATCAAACTGTACATGAAGTAAACTAAATCATCAATATTAAAAAAAAGACGTTATTGTTTTTCCATCCATGAATGTAATGATAGATCTAACTCCTCAAGATGTTTTGTCTTGTTTTGTTTTTATTTTTTTAACAAGGACGAAAGTTTCGAATTATCCACTTCAGTTGTCTTCTATTGTCTTTCAGGTCATTCTGCTTGAATGGAAAAATGAAGGGAAAATGTCTCCACTAACCATTAATTTGTTTGTTGATCGATTGACTGAATACATCCGAGCTTGTAAAATTGTGGGTTTATGTATAAAAATGTCTATAATTCCTGAATAAATGTAATGCTTCAGATGGTTTGTTAAACCATCTGAACTAAACCTAAAGGTCTTCACTTTGATCACATCTTGTTTGTTTGATTTAAAATCCACCGTGATGGTGTACAGAGGCAAATTCCAAACATTGTGTCATCGTCCGAATACATTTGTACCAGACTGTATGTATTAGTTCAGCTACCACAGTCCACATTACAACACGTGCTTATCACCTTCCTAAACCTCATTCAAAGAGGTTCAAAGAAGTCCCAAGAGTACTTTCATATTCACCATCTGTACCTAATGATACCTGTGCAATGAGATTTGTGGTGCACAGTCTAGTGTTTACAGTGTCATCTGTAATATGTGCGGCTGCAGCAGGTATGTCCTGCAGTGTTGGGGAGTAACAGAATACATGTACCAGCATTATGCATTTAAAATACAAAATATGAGTAACTGTATTCTGTTACAGTTACCATTTAAAAAGGTGGTATTCCGAATACAGTTACTTTGTTGAAATAAGTGGATTACATGGCGGTCTTTTCCTGTTTCATATGTTAGGCTGCCCCCTCTCTATTTTTGTTAATTCCACGCAGTTCTGATAAACCATCCTACTTTGGCAAAACGTCCTACTGTAAGTAGTTTATGCACATTTCTGCTGTCACAGAGTAATTCCAGCACTGCCACTTAACTTTGCCCATCAGAGTATGCTTGTAGCTCATATTCATAAAGCCTGGATGGTTTGCCACTTCATTTTACCCATTAAAGTATGCTTGTAGGTAACATTCACAAAGGTATGGTTAGGCACTTAATTTCGCAGAAACAACGGGTAGGATGGATTCCCAGAACACCCGGTGGAAACCCAAACAAAACACGCAATAAGAAGCTCTAATGCCTGTGTCTTAATCTCGCGGCCCATTTCACCACTACTTACGGCCCGTGAGTGAAGAAATATTTTTAAAAATTATTATGCAAAAAGTGATTTAATATGAAGGCAAAAGGCAGAGTGTTACAGGCATCGCCCTAAAGAATGTAGCCTCATGGGCAGTGTAGTCCGTGCTGCAGGGAGAATGGACTGCCATAC